ATGGAAAGAGCATCTTCATCACCCCTCTGGTCAACAACACTTAGAGTTTTCTTCAGCAGTTCAACCAGAGGCATGCGATAAAGATATGAAGATAAGGTTGAATTAACATCCCATGGAAGACAGCTGGAGATAACAAATCGTAAGTTTATCTTGATTTATAGTTTATCCATACTTTAGATAAACATTAGCTTTCCTAGAAGATTGGCTAGATAGTTTTACTAGATAGTCATCTTCTTATTGCTATTATAAATAGGTAGCTAGGCCTATTGTAAAATAAGACTTTTAGTGAAGTTTTTACGCATTCTAATCAAGTATATGCTTTGAATATACACATTCTTTGTTCTTGAGTATTCTTCATTTTATTCATCCACACTACTTATTTATGTTCTTCATAATCTATTTATTTGTGTTATTGAGAGATCTGGGATCAACACAACCAACTGGTCCAAAGATTGTTCAAATAATTTCTAAAAAGATAGATCAGATACGTTATAGAATTAAAACATTCAGGACCGACAGAAAAGTTACGTCGATGAGCGTCGTAAACCGATTGAATTTCTAGTAGAAGATTTCGTGATGTTAAAAGTTTCTCCGTGGAAAGGTCTTGTTTGATTTGGAAAAAGAGGTAAACTCCATCCAAGGTATGTTGGGCCATTCTGTGATAACTGGGTTCTGATTATTACCAAAGGTATTTATTATGTGAATTAATTGACTATATGGATGCATGCTTACATGGATTAAATATGTGAGTATGTGTGTTTTATGCATGGGGATACATGTGCATAATATGTAAGTATGTATATATATATATATATGATATATATATATATATACATATATGTGTAATATTATGAAAAATGTATATATGCCTTTATGCATGGTTAATTCGGATGCATATGGGGGGGAGGGGGAAGACCGACTTTCCAAATTTGGAAAGTATAAATAGGAGGGCTTGAAAGAGGCAAAACATTTCTTACCTCTTTGAGATTTTGGAAATTTTGAGAGAAGAGTTGTCCTGAGATCTAGTGTTGATCAAGTTGGTCTTTGCATTTCTTATCCTATTCAAAATCTGAGTTCATTCTTAAAGGTAAGTGATTTCTAAACCCTTTTTGCATAAAATTTGTTACTGGTTTTTACTTGAATGTTGTTTATTTTTGGAAAGAAATCAGTTACTCAACTAAGGTTTTTATTCGGACAAGAGGTGATCGGATTAAGTCTAAACCAGACCAAACTTGTCCGGATTACTCTTAAACCGGATAGGAGGTATCTGATTTATTCATAAATCGCTTAAGTGTTGTGCAATTTAGGGTGTTAGTGAGAATTTTGAAATATGTAAACCGGACAAAGGTTTTTAACGGAGAAGTATGAACACGACCAAGCATTGTGCGGTTTAGCCTTAAATCGCCTAAGGGTCGTACGGATTATGTTGGTCCCAAAAGGGTCTACAAGAATACTAAACAGTTTGTAGTAGGGGGGGATGAATACGAACACAACGTTTTCAAATTTAAAATATATATTGATAAAGAAGATCAATACAGATTTTACAAGATTGTTTGCGGAAAGATAAGGTAAGAGAAAACCTATCTAAACAATCTTAAGATACACACAGAGGTTAGCAATTACAAGAAAAGAGATTGCTAAAAGAAAGTCTTTTACTTTAAAGTGAAAGAAGCTTGAAGTAAGAATAAGGGAGGAGAGTGATGCGCGCACTCTGTATGGAGAAGAAACACTTCTATATACCCAGTGCATTAAATGTCCATTTAATGCAGTATGGTAGGTTATAGAATG